ACTCACTCTCACACACATACTTGCACTCACACCCTCGTTCTTTAGCAAAAGAAAACAAAGTTCCACACTTATCACCGGCTGCAAATGTGATGCCCAGCTCTCCTACCAAGCATCCGGGCCCTGCTCTTGCCCACTCAAGAGCCCCCGGCTAGTGAGAGTGAGAATTATCACAAAGATCCTGGTTATTACAAAGGGGTGACGTGATTCAAGGAACTTGGCAGAGCCTATAACATCATCTCAGGAAGCAAGAGAACAGGATGACAGGCAGGCCCCATCAGGACCCTCTGACCCTCTGACCCTTCAACAGAGGCCCTTGGTGGTAGTTGCCTTGGTCTGATCCCTCCTCTATCCTTGTATATTTTGGTGTTTGGGAAAGAGTTCCAAGGGAATGGGTGGCCCTCCAGATGGCCAGAGGGGAAACTGGGGAGCCAATTCAGAGTTTCCTGTCATGCATCTGCCTGGGCATACCATTCCCACCATCCTCAGTCTCCCCACATAGGGCTTCCCACCATCCCCCAGGCCTTTAAACATCGGCCCCCACCTCTGCTGGGAGCCCTTTTATCCCAGCTGGAAAGCTGTCAAGCCCATGAGCTGGTGGTTCTGCCTGTCACCACATGACCCAAGCCAGATGGTACCTGTCAACATCAGCTGCCACGAGGCCCTGACAAGTAAGCACCACACACATGTCCACATGCGTCACAAATGGGGCCTGACTGTGCAGCACCCAGCATCCATCCCCACCTGCTGTCCCGCCAGCCCTCTGGGCTCCACACCCCCACACCAATGCCGTCAGCACATGCACCCACCTGTGTCCCCAAACTTCCTCCAGAGGGAGGCCCCTCTGTGTTCTCACTGAAAAGGTAAAGGCCCACGAATATTCTCAGCACCCGGCAGGCTGTGGGGGCTTAATAAAGGTTAGTCATCAGCCCTGTACATCTCAGGAAGTGTTCTAAAATATATGGGGGGTGGGGGCAGGAAACATTTGGTAGCAACTACAATAGTCACCCACAGGAAGGAGTGATTCCATTGAACACCCAAAGGCTGGTTACCAGGTGAGGGGAGAAGCAGGCAGCTGCCAGGAAGCTGGCAGAAGGTGGCCTTGGGAAGGCAGCCCTCTCGAAGGGGAGCCGAGGCATCCAGGTAAAGTCATGAGGGTTGATCACCCACCCATGATGGAGAAGACGACTGTTCCCAGGGAAAGGTCTTCAGGGTCCTGTTCAGGGTCAAGCAGGAAACAGAGGCTAGACCTGTGACAGTCTACAGTGTGACCTTGATCAAGTCCCCTCTCACTCTTGGCCTCTGTTTCCTCCGCTCCACATCAGAGCAGCTACCGTTCATATGCACATTAAACACCCTTTGGATGTCATCTTACTTCATTCACCAGGTATCTGCTGCTATTAGCTGAAGCTCAGAATGGTTAGGTGACCAGCTGGAGGTCATACAGCTGGTGGCAGGGAATAGCCTTGTATTGTGGAGAGCTGGGATTTGAATCGAACAATCTACTCCAGAGCTCAGGCCTGTGACAGCCACACTCTGATGGAGAAGATGCTGGCCAGAGGCAAGAGGACAGGGAACCCCAAAATGAAGCCATGTTGTCAGCACCCCCTAGCCTGCTCCTCTCACAAGGCCATCCAAAAGGGGCTTCCTGCCCTATGTTTCTTCCAAGTGCTCATTACTGAAACTCTCATGGTGGCCTGCTAAGGGCACAGGGCAGGAGAGTGATGCCACCCAGCAAGACAGTCCCTTCAACAGGACTCAGTGTCTCAATGTTCTAAGGAGACACAAGGGCTCCTGCCCTTGGGATGCAGTACGGACTCTCCTCAGTCTTGGGAACTGCCAGGGTCAAAGTTGCAACATGGAGGCCCTTAGGCCACTACCTAGACTAGGTGGGGTTGATTGGAGGCTGGGCAGCATGCAGGGGGGACTGAGGGGGCACAGCCAGAGGGAAAGGCACAGCCTGGAGGGTAAAGCAGTGGTTCTGAGGGGTCACAGCTATGTGCACAGTTGCCATAGCTGGGCACACAGGGGTGGTGCAGTGGGGCTCAGCTGCCAGGCTGCACAGACTCAAGGAGTCTGGGCACTTGACATCCTGGCATCAAGGTGGGTGATGCCCAGAAGCCCACATCTGGTGTACCCCCAGCAGACAGTATTCGTTCATTCATTCATTCACCCCTTCATCTAATATTTACTGAGTACCTCCAAATGTACTTCCCAGGCACTGTCCTGGGCTTGGGAGTTTCAGTGTGAAATGGTCTGTGCCCTTGTCAGTCTCATAATTAAGGAGTATGACACAGATGGACTTCATGGTGTGGGATCTAGGAGGGGCTTCAAAGATTTAACCAACACCCCTTCTTCATGGGGGTGCCCACTTTCAGCTTCATGGGTCTTCCCCTCCCCTGCCGAGCCTTGTGCCCCCTCCACTGCATCCTGGCCCACATTCCCTCCTCCCCATGAGGCCTGCTTGGAGTGCCTCAGCAGGCAGTGGTCCAGAATGAGAGTGACAGAGGACTAGCAGTTGACTCATGCCTCCCAAGGTTGCTACCTCTCTGGGCTCTTGTCCACACCTTGCCAGCAGGCCCCTGTCCATGGTCCTTACTGACTCCTCATCTGTTTCCTCTCCTGAGATGTGAAAATCTGTGCCCTATACCGAGCAGGGGCTCCAGAACCACCTAGGCTTGACCTGTGCCCCTCTGGACCCCCCATTCCTGCCACCATATCCTGGGCTGCCCCATCCCCACACAGCCCCTTGGGCTGAGGCCCAGGACCCAAATAGGGAGGTCTGACTGAGCTCCCTGACGAGGCTGCAGCCCCTGTGCTGGGGTGTAGTGGAGGAGAAGGCTGGAGCTGAAGGGAGCCCAAGATACTGCTTGGCCCCCTCCCCTAGGGCAGGGTCCATTGCCTCAGTTCAGCAATCTTCAAAGGGTGGCCCCAGTTCCATGTCCTAGAAAAAGGGGGCAGGACGATGGGAGATGGGGTGTAGTCAGCCTTTGGTGGCCCTGACACCATATCCCCTGCTGAGCCAGGTAGAGGATGGGTGACCCAGAAACAGTGAGCTGTAAGAGGACACTGCCAGGGAGGGAAGAATGGAGAAGTGGAACGGGAATGGGTGGGCGTGTCTGTTCTGTAAGTCTCTGGGCATTTGTTTTTGTGTTTGTATGTCCACGTCTATGCACATTGGTATCTCTCCAGGCTGCGTCTGTGTGTATGTGTCTGCATGTGTAAGTGTCTTGGGAGTTCATGTGAAGATCTGTGTGTGGTGCACTTGATCTGTTTCCACATGTATGATTGTGTTAGTGAGTCTGTGTGCACTTGTCAGCATCTCAGTGCCTATATGTGTTTGTACATATGTGTCTTCAAGGAATCGTGTGCAGTTTTACTTGTGTTTGTGTGTGCTTTTGTGTTGACAGTGGGTTCTTGCATGTGTGTGTCTTTGGGTGGGGAGGACCAGACCATTCCTCCCCATCCTTACTAAAGACAGACCATGATTGGGGCCCAGGCTCTCGTATGGTGACTCACCTCTAATGTTGGGTGCCATGGACCAGCAGGTCCCCGCCCACAGTCTGGGCTGTCACGGGTCCTAGTCTGGCTGGGTTTCTAGCCGAGAGACTCTGTGTCCTCTACTCCCCTCCTTCTAGGCTGGGACCAGCTGGAGCCTCCCACACCCCACATGGAGACCCATCCAGGCTGTGGACAGCACCCAGACCGCCCCTCAACACTGCCAGGAACAGCCAGGCCCTGAGGCCAGCAGAACTCTTCACAGACACCCAATAAGGAGCAGGGCAGAGACAGGGTAGAGGGACAGCTGCTGAACCACAGAGTGTGCCCTCAACTGGGAGGGGCTGCAAGGCCTGGGAGACATCCCTTGTACAGAGTTGCTGTTTTTCTTCCCCATGCCACCTTGGGTAGTTCATGTACCCTCTTTGGGCACAGGTTTTTCATTTACAAAATAAAAGGCTGGTGCCAGTAGGGCCACAATATACAGTTGCAGCATCGTGCACTGCACAAACACACCTGGCTGACAAAAGGCACCGAGAGCCAGCCCTGACACTGCCTGGCAGGCTGGGACTTGGCACCAGCTGCAGCACCCAGAGGAAGGGATACCTTTCTCTTCCCACAGGACCTTGCACATCAGGTCTGCACCTACGTGGAGCATCTGCCTGGGGCACGTCTTGTTCTCATTCTCATAAAGGGGCTCTGATCACCTGCGCTGGAGGAAGGCACCAGCCTTTATAATCAGCCGCTCCCCTCTCTGGCCCAGTGCCCATCTGTCGAAGACTCTCCATCTGTCTGGGGACAGATCTCTACCACTTCCCATGCCCACTATCATCCTTCTCCTTTATGGCATCCAATGTGGGATGCAGAAGGGCCTGGAAGTTCTGTCCTAACCCTCTCCCCATTTTATAGACCAGGTAACTGAGGCCTAGTGAGGACTCCCAGAACTTTGCCCCTTTGGCCCACTTGCCCCTCCTCTGGTGTCTTGCCTGCCGCGCTTGACCAAGCACTTTCCCAGACAGCACAGGCTACAGAGACGCTCTTTACAGGATGGAATGTGAGTGCCAAGAATAAAGCTCCTTGTACATAGTGTCATAGTGACTCAGAGGTTCCAATCAAGCTCCCAATTCCAAACCTGGCCCCCCAGCTCTGCCACCTTGCTCCCACCACCCCAGCTCAACCTCCTTTTCCCCCAGCCCTGACAGTGGCCACTTCTGTGTTTCAGTGATCTTTATTCCATTAGGAAAGAGGCTGGGAGTGGGGGTAGAGTAGGGACAGTAGCTGGCTTCTATCCCCAAACCTGTGGGGATAGGACAAAAGCCTGAGTGGGGGGCTCAGTGGTGCTGTACACTCCCCTCCCCTTCAGAGGCCCTGATATCCCTACCCCATCCAGGCTGGGATCCCTGGGTAGGACTCATTTGACCCAGGGGTTGGGAGACAGGGCTGGCCCACAACAGCCACCTCTCCTCAAGGGGGAGCTGCTGTAGGTGGGGGTCCACAGCCCCTTACCAGGCTTCAGCTCAGCTGGGGGCCACAAAGCGACTGCTATGAGGTGTGTCTCGGTAGAAGGGGTCAACGGAGGTCAGGGTTCTGCAGGGAGGGAGGAGGCAAGTGTGAGGAGTGTAGGCAGAGCCTAGAGCTTCTCTTCTGCCTGCCTGTCCCGGAGAGTGTGGCCAGGGCTCAGCCAGGGCAGCCAAGCCACAAACATTCTTTGCCTGCCAACTCTGTGCCATTGTTGGTATAATGAAATTTTTGAGAAATTGAATTGAGCAGAAAGGAGTCAGAGTGGGGCAGAACCACAGTCCATTCATCTTTGGATCTGTCCCCCCACACCCATGCTACCCACCTAGAGGCAGGTAAAGGAGGGGTCCCTGGAGAGAGAGGAGGGGACAAGCCAGTGCTGGCTGGGGAAATAGGGACAAAGCCAGCCAGGAGAAAGGGGCTTTCCTATCAACAGACATGAAGAGAGGAGGGGAGGAGGGGCAGGGAAAGGCTCTGTGGCAGAACCCGGTGAGGCTGGGAGTGGAGAGGGAGGAGGAAGCAGGAGGGCACAGCTGGGTGGGGGTGCTACCTTCCCACATGGGGATGCAGGCGCCGCAGGCTCTCAGTGGGGTTGGGGCTAGCCTCCATGCGGGTGACTGGTTGGTTGATGGCGTAGCCTCCCGGTATCTGGGGCTGGATGCCACCTCGAGTCCAGCCTTCCCGGTCTAGACCCTTGGGGATATTCTCAAAGTACCTGGAGTGGAGGAAGTGTTATTGGCTAGAAGCCAGCCTCTGCCCACCTTGTAGCCTGTCCAGGCCTAACCTTGTTCCTCAGATCCCTCTAGCCTCCTGGCTTTGCCCACACTGCCCCCTCTCCCTGGCACTCCCTAAGCCGTTGTCCACTTGGGGAATTCTTCCATTAGAAGCCTGCCCTCCCCTGTCCTTGGGCTGACCCTGACACTGAGCACTGCATCGTAAGCGAGGACCCTGCCACATCCATTTCTCTCTAGGCATTCAACTTTCTTCCATTACACCAATATATTAGGGCAAATTTCAGAGGGTGCAAAGATGAGTAGTAAGATGTGGGCCCTGCCCTTGAGCTTAAGAAGGCAGGGTATAGACAGATCACATGGAAATCAGCGATTCCCACCCCAGGGGCTCTGTGCACACCAGCAAGAACCTGCAAGCCTGCCACCTGGAGAACGGGAATGGGGAGCCTGTGTAAACAGAGAGGTGGGGGGAACACACTTTGAGGACCAGGAGTTGGAAGGGGAACAGGTGGACACAGGTGACAGATGCTGTGAGGGAAACTTGTGCTTCCCAGCTCAGGAGAGTTTGTACCACTCCTGTAACACCCTCCCTACCCAGTCCTGGCCCTGGGGGCCTTCTCTGCAGCTCTAGGTGCCACTTCCTCCTGGAAGCCCTTCCTGATGCCCAAATACTTGCTCTTCATCTGGACCCACACAGCACAGAGCTTATCTGCCAAGGGAGCACCGAGCCCACCTTCTATAGCCTGGATGCAGCGTCTTAGCAGATGCCGCTGTTGCTCCAGAGCCCTTGGCAGCACCCACTTGTCTTTCCCATGCCACTAGCCTGGCCACCAACATCCTACACTGCATCTCTGTGGTGGTTCCCTTGGATTGCTGGCACCTACTTTACCTGAGCAAGGATGGACCTAGCGATGGCTTTTAACCAATGATGGGCAGATGTGGGGTATAAATACCCAAGCTCTCTTACCCTTTGCCTGGACTAATTCTGAGTTTTATGTTTCGCACTGTTTTCTAGCCTCCCCTTGCGATAGCTGGCTTAGCAAAATACCCACCCTTGCTGCCTTCCCTTTCCCATTCAACTCCCCCACTCCTCACACACCCAATAAAGTGCCTGCATTTTGAGCTTGAGGTCTGCTTCTGGGGGACCCTCACTCACTCAGTGCAGACCCCCTCCACACTTCTACGGACTCGCTCATTACTTATTCCAGTCTTAGTCCATCTGTCTGCCAAATGGGTTTCAGCTTTGGGTAAGAAGGGGGCCTCACCCTTGGTTGTAGGTGGTCAGGTACCGATTATCCCTGTCAGGGTCATGAGGGCTCCGGACATAGCTGGAGTTGTTAATGCTGAACCCTGTGGGTTCCTGCATGAGAGGGGTAGACCAGGGAATCGTCAGGTTAGGAGGGGTGGGGATCTGGAGAAAGGGGCTGGGTATCGCAGCCTCACCTTCTTCCCCATAGTCTCCCGGCCAAGCAAGCCAATGTTTGTCTGTTGCATTCGCTGGGGTGGTTGGAACTGCCAGTGATTTATGCTGTTGAGTTCTGGGTTGGGAGTGGTCACCTATAGGGGACAGAGCGGCAAGAAGGAAAGTTGTGGTGGCCCAGGGACCTGCCTGTCCTTTTCCAGCCAAGTCCAAGTCTCTGTGCCAGGCACATTCTCCATTTCGGGCCCCCAGCCCTCACCCCTCCACCCAGGGACCCTGCCTCCACCTGGGGTCCTGCCTCCACATCTCCAAATATCCTAATTCTTCCCATTCTTCAAGGCCTGGCCCAAATGCCACCTATCCAAGAAACCTCCCCATCTCCCTTCTCTGAGGGAAGAGCCAAGGTCACTCACTCTGGTGTTCAAAGTCCTTTCATTCACCCGGCTGAAGCCTGTCTCCCTCTCAGAGCCTCTGGCCAGCACAGGCAGGAACTCATCTCCCTGGGATGAACAAAGCAACCATGGCCACCAAGTGAGGCCGCTACCCACCTCCCACTGCCACCCCTGAACCATGTCCTCACTGCCATCACCCTATCCCCAGGGGTGCCCAACTTCCCCTAGTTCAGCTTACACGTGGGTGAGTCATGGGGAGGAAGTCCGACTTGGTGACACTCCGGCCTGGTAGGAGGGTCTGGGGAAAGGCCCACAGAGGAGCGTCAGCCCAGCAGAGGCAGCAGGAGCCCCATCCTCAGTGGAGCTGGTTGGCCCCACCCTTTTTGCTTCAGGGCCCTATTGCACTGAGTACAGATAAAAACACAGCACAGATGGGCAGATTTGGGGAAACTGAGGCAAGGGGAAGGTTTGGGGAGAAGAAAGGGGAAGACATGTCCCTGAGAAGAAAACAGCAGGCCTGGGTTCTTTCCTAAACTCTGAGTGGCCCTGGCTATGCCCTTCCATCTCTTTGGACCTCAGTCTTCTCATCTATAAAATGGAAGAGTTGGTCCAAAGCAGCAGTTTTCACCCAAGCTCTTTACCATGTGTTTGAACAAAGGGCTCTGCAGCTCACTTTCTTTACAAAGTTAGAAACCCCAAGATTAGAGGGCCTCAAGCACCCTAAAGTTCTAGCTAGGGTCCCGCGGACTCACAGGGTCACCAGGGAGGGCCTGAGAGGGCGGCTGGAAAACAATGGGGCTCTTGTTGGTCTCTTCAGTGAAGCCGGTGTCCTCCTTGGCACCGATTGATTTCTTCTGCAAGAGATCTGCAAAAGACAGCTCTCCAGGCCCAGCCACCGGCTTCCAGAAGCTCATTCTCCCAGCAGGTGGGGAGGGAACTGACTCAGATCTGGAGGCCTGAGCCAGGAGGATCATGACACCAGGGCAAGGACTCCACAGTCCAGGCCAGAGAATAAAAGATAGAAAGGCAGAAGAGTGAGAGCTGGCAGGCCAGGAGCCACCATGACCAGCCAAGCAGCCCTTAGGCACAAGCCACATTAGCCTGTGGGGTGTCAGCAGGCCTAAGGCACTGAGGTCAGCCAGGCAGGAACAGTTCCCTCAAGACAACTGTAGGGCTTTGTTTCTTCCGCTGGTGCCTTTCTGGTCCTAAGCCAACTCCAGGCCCCCTGGGGCTCTCTCCTTGGGGTGGGAAATGGGGAGAAGGATCAGAAGAGAGGCATGAGTTCAGATCGGGGCCTACCTGGCTGGTGTATAGGCTCATTGAGGTACTTGGAATTGTACTCAGAAGTCATGAAGCGCGGGCCCTGGAACACAGAGGATGGAGCAGTGGGAACCCAAGGCAGCCCTGGCCCGGAAGGCATATGGCAGTGATATGGCAGCTCTGGGTTACCTGTGCACCAAGCAGGGCTATGTGGCATCTCCTGAGAAGGGAGGGCCTGCACAGCACCTTGGACATAAATCTCTCTCTGATAGGCTGTCACAGGGCCAGAAACACCACTGTGAGAGCACGGCTCCCCGTGACAATGAATGCTAAGTCACATGCCATGGTGGACTGCTAGTAACAAGCAAAAGGCGCATAGGTCTCCCGACCAGAAGGAGCTGATGCCCACTTCATGTAACCCTGGACACTGAGCCTCTGAATGGGGCAGAGGAAAGAAGGGTATGAGGGTGCTGAATCACAGGGGCCTGTGCTACTATGATGTTGTTTGGGAAACATTCAGTATCATATCTGTTGCTCTCCCAGGTCTGTCTTGGCACCAGGCCCACAGAGTCGGCTTCAGGGGTTAGTCTCATTGCACCTGTGTTCAAGAGGAAGGGCAACCCCGCCCCTTCCCCTGCCCTGCAGCCCCTAGCTGGGCACCACTCACGTATCGCCAGTTCTCCCACTCCAGTGAGCCCTTGCCCTGCTGCTGGCGGAGCAGTGGCATGTCCTTGGGTTCCAGCCCTGTGATGGCCTGGGGCCCGTACTCCTGGGTGTCGAAATGGACTTTCCTGACCTGGGGGAAGGGAGTGCCAATTACCCTCTGGGCAGGTGAAGACATGGCAGTCACATCCTGACCCCAGTTGTGCCTTTGCCCCCTACAGAGCACAATACCTGCAGAGCAGCCAGAGTAGTCCCTTTACCATGAGGCTGGTCACAGCCTCCTCTGCCCAGCACCCTGCAGCCTTCCCATCACCCCGCCGGGAGCTCTATGTCCTGAAAGTGACCCTCAAGGACCTGAGCTCTGCATTCTGCTGTAGCCACCTGTCCCCCTGCTGCCTCCTCCCATCAGACACTCCTGCCACAGGCCCTTTGCACTTGCTGCTGGCACCGTTTGGGCCACTCTCCCCTCAGAGAGCTGCACCTGGAGGACAAGTTCTCCCCTCGAGTCTCGGTTCATTGCCTCTGCAGCATACTCTTTCCTGACCCTTCCCGTGTGCCACTGACACTCCTTCACTTGGACTTCACTCCCTACTCTCCCCTGTTGCATTGTCCCCCAGCTCTTGTCACCTTCATTGTAAAAGAGATGTTCAGAACATACTAGAAGAGTGAGTGAATGCAGAGCCCTCTTGGCGGTGGCGGTGATGAGAAGAATGATGGTAATAGTGATAATAGAAATGAAGAAGATGGGGTAATGATGGCAATGGTGGGGAGACAGTCAGGGTGGGGATAGTGGGAAGGGGACGAGCACAAAGGGGAGAAAGGTGAGGGAACCTCCACTCCACAGTGTGGCTCCTTGTGCCCTGTCACCTCTGCCATGACTGGCTGTTGGTAGTGCAGGCCCACCCTGCTGGAGGGACCCCACTCTGCCCAACCCTCAGCCCACCCCATATCAGCCTAGGACACCCCTCCCTCCTGCCCTGGCCCAGTACTGACCTCCTTGGTAGGGGGGCCTGCACTGGGCTTCTCCCGCCCATAGCCAGAGCTGGTCTGATGCAGGTTCTTGGGGAGGGGATACCTGCCGTCGGGCACTTCCAGGGGACGGTAACTCTGACTGGTCACTGTCTTGTAATTGTCCCGAACGTGCTCCCTGAGGGTGGGGCAGGAGCAGGAAATAGGGCCACCTGCCTCTGTCCTCTGGGGGCTGCATTGCTTATGTCCAGGGGCTTCCCACCCTTCTCAGCCCTCCCAAAGTTGCCAAGCTGGGTATCAGCTCCTGAATCACCCAGGACCGCAGGCCTAGGCCAGGCAAGGCTCAAGGTCCCCATCTACAGAGCCCAGACTTGTTCTGATAAGAATTGGTGTCCCATAGAGCTGAGGCCCAGGGGTGAGAAGGGGTCACACACACCATACCCCATGGCAGGGTTGTCCAGGGCGTCCAGGCTGGCTTGGTAGGAGACCACAGGCCGGTAATTTGATTTGTATCCTGTGCCCATGTGACTTCCCATGCGGGGCTTGAACTCCTCCCGCCCTGCCAAGGGGAAATAGGGATACAGGACTGCAGGTCAGCAGAGTGGGGGTGGGGGTGGGGAGTGAGCAGGGCTTCTGGGGCAGAGCCAGCATGCCCCTGAGGGGCCCTGGTGTCTCTGTGACAGGGGAAGGCTCAGAGCCAGCAGAGCTGTGCTGGCCTGGCTGGTCGGGACTGTGATGATAGGAAATAGAGTCAACAGAATGGAGACAGGGTCAGTGTGTCAGAATCACAGGGACAGAACTTCAGGGACAGAACCCAGGAAGGAACAGAGTGATTCTGTGTGATAGGGTCACTCTGCAGTGCGACTGTCCAAAGGGGCTGCTCCCCTCAGAGAGGGCCTCTCCCTTCGTGTCCTGGTGGTGGCTCCTGCACAGAGGTCCCCTCACCATAGGCTGTGCAGTAGCTGGTGGCATAGAACTTCAGGGGGTCTGTGCAGCCCCCCGAACTCATCTTCACATAAGGGGACACAACCCCCAGAGGGAGTTTCCCCATCATGATGCTGGGGCAGGGCCCAGAGGCCTGGAAAGAAACACAGGGGTCTTTCAGTCCCAAGCTCAGCTCAGAGGAGCACAGAGGTGGTGTCAACACCCCCACCCCAAAGCCAATCCCTATCTCTGGTTCCACAACCCAGGAAAGACTGGTCACCAGAACTTTTCTCATGGTTTACTTTGTCTCCATTTGCCTTCCCAACCCTTCTCATGTGCTCTTCACACCTTCATTTTATAGCAGGAAAGTGGGCTCCAGGTGACATAGAATTTGCTCATAATAAGTGGTAAAGCAAAGATTCAGACCTCCTCAAGCCCATGAACCATGACCCACTCTCCTCTCAGAAAAGAATGACCTGACAACCTCCCACCAGCAAATTCCTGGTCAACCCAAATAGTCTGGCCCGGGTGCCCACTTAAGACCCCAAGTTTTTTGTCTCTCTCTCAGCTCCCTTAGCCTGGCCTCCTCCCACTGGAAGTTGCCTCTGCTCTCCTGGACCCAACCGCAGCCGCCCCACCCTCACCTGCCCTCTGCAGTGGCTCTGAGTTCAGGGAGAGGCTGAAGGAGGCTGGAGCTTCTCCAGGGAAGTCAGAGCCCTCCCAGAGTGGCCAAGCCAGGAGAAACAGTGCGTTGCCTAGCAACTGGTGCCTGGCAACAGCGTCCTCATACTTCTGTGCCCTTCTAGGGCCAGGGCCCACTGGGGACTGACCTGGTCAGGAAGGGAGGGCCAGGAACTGCCCAGGCAAGGTCCTGCCTCCACAGCCCCTGCTTCTGTCCCAGCCTCTGCCAGAAGGCCAGGAAGAGTGGCCGTCTGAGTGACGTGAAATAAAAGATAATCCCAAACACTCCCATTTATTGAGTACCCACTTCTCTCCAGACACTTTATATCCTTTATCTCTGTCCTCAGAGCAGCTCTCTGGGTAGCTATTTTTATCCCTGTTTTCACTTGGGAAACATGAGGCTTAGCCAAGCAAAGTGACTTGACTGGCCGGAGATCTCACAATCAGAAAATAGCCCAGTTGAGATTCAGATGTGGGTGGACCAGATCCCACTCTTAAGCCTCTTGGTAAATTAATGTTTACTATATTCTGCCAAAGCCAAGCTTGCACTAAGCCCTTTCACACACATTACTTCATATAATACCCCAAACTACCCTATGAACTGGGTTTTATCCTAGGGCCAACAAACCACCACAGGTAAGATAGTGGTTCAAATCTGACCTGTCACCTTTGATGACGTTCTTATTATCCTCTTGCCACCCTAGTTTTGCCATCTTGCTGAAAGATGTAACTGAGCCCACCTCACAAGGATGCTGGCAGATTTGACGAGCAAGGGATTCAGTACCTTGCAGATAGTAAATGCTCTATTTTTGGAAGTCCCCATTCTATAGCCTATTATCTTAATTTGCAGATGGGAAAGAGAGCCTTAAAGACAAATAGCCCAGGCCTCTGGTGGTAGAGGCAGAACTGGACCCACAACTGATTGGGCAAGCTCCACAGTCCTCGCTCCTTCTGTGACAGGCTGATTGCCTCAAGCTGGCTTTAAGGCTTGTAAATGGTGTAACAGTTGGATCTCAAGAAGGGGGGGGGTGATCTATAGCATTTGCCAATATCCGGGGTGTAAAGACTCTCATCAAGGCTGCTTTCCAACCAGCAATGCAATGTCACTGACCGGGGACTTAGGAAGGTAGCTTACCGCTGTACAGAGTTTCTGCCATACTCCTAAAACAGACATAAGTCACCCCAATAAGAGCACAAATAGGCTCGGTGCCTATAGCTCAACCGGCTAAGGGGCCAGCCATGTACACCTAAGGTGGCGGGTTCGAATCCCCAGCCCGGACCCGCCAAACAACAATGACGGCTGCAACCAAAAAATAGCCAGGCGTTGTGGCGGGCGCCTGTGGTCCCAGCTACTTGGGAGGCGGAGGCAGGAGACTCGCTTGAGCCCAGGAGATGGAGGTTGCTGTGAGCTATAATGCCACGGCACTCTACCCAGGGGGACAGCTTGAGGCTCTGTCTCAAAAAAAAAAAAAAAAGCACAAATAATAGAAAAATGTACTAATGTAATTAGGAAGTGATGTGCTTTAATACCTCTGTTTTTAACATAATTTATTACCTTGTAAGTTTAAGTAATTTAATATTTTAGAATGGCAGAGTTTAACGACAAGCTCACAAATTTCCTGGAAGTTTCACCTTCAGCCCTCATGAGTCTGTGTGAACTGGTTCCAGGGCACCCCTGCTTTCAGGGGAGGGAGAGGATGGAATACAGTAAAAGGGGGCTGCCCTCACCCAGGATATGCCCTTATACGGAGCATGTTGGGTGCCTACCCTCCAGGGTGACAACTCTATCCAGGGGTCAGAGGCTGTAGGCACACAGGAGTGAATGCTACAGCTCAGCCCTCCAGTGAGGAGCTACCAGTCTGCAGACAGAGGTTCACGTCAGCTCCATGCATGAAATACAAGGAAGGCTCAGACTGTCACAAGTGGGGTGTTCATACAGGGTGAAGGGAGAGAGCAGCTCTCCTCAGTGGGTGCTGGCAAGAGTGGTTACAAGCCAGAGCTCAGACTCTGAAGCCAGATGGCATGGGACCTGGCTCTGCTGCTAACTGTAAGACTTACAGCATGTTACTTGTGCTTCAGTTTCCTTTCTGGAAAATGGGAGCAATGATGGTATCCACCTTTGGGGTTGTGGTACATGTGAAGCACAGTAAGTGCCAGCTAAGAGTTAGGGAAAGGTCCTGGACAGAGGTGCCTTTTGAGCGTTCACTGCCCGCTAGAAAAAGGGTTGGCCCCAACGGTTTTAAGTAGGAATTCCACGTAGCCCGGCCCACAGCTGAGAGGGGATCTCAGACACAGCCAGTGTCAGGTAGCTAAAGAAAGCTCAGCTCCTGAACCTGAGCTCAAAACTCACTTCTGCTCCCTGGCTCCAAGCTTCCCCTCTCTGAGCCTACTCTTGGCACCTGCAGGCAGGGAATAACCGCGCCCACTTTGCAGGGTTGCACAGGCCTGCACCAAGCAGAAATGAGGAAGAGCGAAGACCAAGGCGACAAGGAAGCTGGGGCCAGGTTTTCCTGTAAGCGGATGCGGGGGAATAAGAAGCGTTGATAGAAAGCTTTGAAATCGTCCATTAGGGCAGTTCTGGGCTGGAGCAGACAAAGGACTCAGGCAGGATTTCCCAGAGCCTGCTGCCCTGTCTGTGCTCCCCTTAACACCCCACAACTGGCCGTCCCCTCACCGGCAGCCTGTTTGTTTTGTTTTGTTTTGTTTTTAGCTGCATGGCGACGCCCAGTGGTCAATACTCGGAACTGCAGGAGCTGCCCTAACAAGACAGGGTGGGAATATGGTGAGTCTAGGCTCCAGCCGCTGGACCACCCTGGCCCCATGCACCTCACCCCACTTCAAGAACAGAAGGGACAGGCCCAGGCAAGGAGCGTTCTGGGAGAGAGAGAGCTGGAGCCCACAAGCAACAGGAGACTAACTGAACCATCTGTGGGACTCAGTTCTTCTGTGTAAAATGAAGGAACCTACTAAAAAGAACCTTACTTGAGTCTAAGTGGACCTCATAAGTTTCCCCATTTATTAAGCACTTCCTCTGTACTGAGCCAGGTGCTGAGCTGCAAGTCATCCCTTCACTTCTTGCTCTGACCCTGTAAGACAGCGACTGTGCATTATGCCCGTTTTACATGTGAGTGGAGTTGACATCCGAACCCAGCTTTGACTCCAGAATCTATATACTGGCAAGTGCGGGGACTGTAGCAGTGGACTCTAACACCACTTGGTCAAGTTCAGTGATTTTACAAAAAGACTACTGGCCTTGGCCAGAAGGGCAACCTCTTTCTCCTTTCTAGAGCTGCCCAGAACTGGGCAGTAATTTGCTCATTTCCCTCCTATAAGAAGGGCAGGGCTACAGGTATGTAGTGGCTGGCCCTGGACACCAGCACATGCCTTCCTTCTGATGCCTGGGAGGTCAAGGCTTCCAGTGAGAGAAAATCTTGGAACCTAGACCCATAGAACTCCTTAGCTGGTAGAGCTGGGGTCAGGCTTAGTAGGGCTCTGAGACTAGAGGGCATCAGCATTTGATGACTGAGTCTTGAACGGAGACAGATCCACTGCTCTGGGCTTCACAGGCTGCAATCCCCCAAAGGAGGATAAACCCAAGCAGATGAGCCAGCATGCCACCAAGTGTGTGCTGTTTTGTTTTGGCTGACGTGGGTCTTCATAGCTGGCCTCAGTTGGAGCTGGGTCTCTCGTAGGGAAGAGACAGACAGTCAGCAGACTTCAGACTTCAGCTTTACAGAGGGAAAAACTTCCAAACACACTAAACCATCTAATAGGGAATAGCCTGCCCTGGGAGGAGTGAGTTCCCCATCCCAGAAAGTGTTCAAGGAGGAGCTCGATAGAATAATATTATACTCTCACTGAGGGTTTATTAGGTAGCAGGCACTGTTCCCAAGCACTTCCCATGTATTGGGACATTTAAACCTTACCACATTCCTATGTGGTGGGTAGTATCAGCTCCTCCATTTTACATATGAAGAAACTGAGACACAGGCTGCATAAACTGTCCAAGGTCACATAACTATTATCTGAACTCTAGAAGTCTAGGTCCAAAGGTCATGCTGGTGACTACTTTGATATCACTTCATAGGTTGAACTAAAGGTTCTCCAAGCTCTCTTCAAAATCTGACCTTTGATGACAGTTTTTTTTGTTTTTTTTTGTTTTTTTTGTTTTTTTTTTTTGAGACAGAGCCTCAAGCTATCCCCCTGGGTAGAGTGCCGTGGCATTACAGCTCACAGCAACCTCCAACTCCTGGGCTCAAGCGAGTCTCCTGCCTCCGCCTCCCAAGTAGCTGGGACCACAGGCGCCCGCCACAACGCCCGGCTATTTTTTTTTTTTTTGGTTGCAGCCATGGTTGTTTGGCGGGTCCGGGCTGGGGATTCGAACCCGCCACCTTAGGTGTACGTGGCTGGCGCCTTAGCCGGTTGAGCTATAGGCGCCGAGCCGATGACAATTTTTAAAAA